AATAGATAGTACCTGTGATGATATAGATATGTTAATTTTTTAGAAGTTGAATAAATACAGAGTTATATGTATGGGTTTTTTTTTTTTTTAAGATTTTATTTATTTATTTGACAGACAGAGATCACAAGTAGGCAGAGAGGCAGGCAGACAGGCAGGAAGGGAAGCAGGCTCCCTGCCAAGCAGAGAGCCCGAGGCGGGGCTCGATCCCAGGACCCTGGGATCATGACCTGAGCCGAAGGCAGAGGCTCCAACCCACTGAGCCACCCAGGCGCCCCTGTATGGGTTTTTAAAAAACTCTAAAGCATATATTAGTTTATAAAGCATAGGCATACCTTCTTTCTAATTGCAACAACAGGGAAGAATGAATAGAAGAAACTGGAGATCAGCCAAGCAGTCCTAGAAAAAAAATATAAACTACATCAAGAACAGAAAGAACTGCTCCACATCATTTGTCACTTGTAACAACTAGGTAGAAAGGCGACCCAACATTTAATCAGAACTGGGGTAGCAAAATGACCAAGTAAAAGGTGAATTCCATAGTGGTTTTCACGACGATAATTTGCCAAGTTCCTGAAGATAGCTAATTGCGTAGACTCCCTCCCTGACTCACGAAAGGTGAAAACTTTCAATGATCCTATTAATTTTAAGGAATTAATGAGACAGAATCAGTTTGCAAAAAAGAACAATTTAGCTCATTATGTAATGATAAGAACCTGGATTCTGGGGCACCTGGGTGGCTCAGTCGTTGAAGCCTCTGTCTTCAGCTCAGGTCATGATCCCAGGGTCCCGGGATCAAGCCCCACATTGACTACCTGCTCAGGGGAGAGCCTGCTTCTCCCTCTCCATCTGCCTGCTGCTCTGCCTACCTGTGCTCTCTCTTTCAAATAAATAAATAAAATCTTAAAAAAAAAAAAAAAGAACTTGGATTCTGTAAAACTGCCAAATGAAACTTAAAAAATACATCATTTCAAGGGAAGCACTGCATCCTATGAATGGCAAGGATTTAAAAAGTTTTATCAGGGTGGGGGACGGGTTAGCCCTGCGATAGGTATTAAGGAGGGCACGTACTGCATGGAGCACTGGGTGTTACATGCAAATGATCAATCATGGAACAGTAAAGCAAAAACTAATGATGTACTGTATGGTGACTAACATAAAAAAATAAAAAAATTAAAAATAAAAAGTTTTTATCAATGTATGAAAGGAGACACAACCAAGCCTATGACCCAACTAAGATTAAATTGGTTGAAACCCCATCTGGTCAAAATAACATGCTCTTTCTTTTGGTTTTATATCTAGGATGAAGGAGAATCAAATCTCTATAATATTACTGTACCCCAGGGCTGCCACTGGTCCTTTGACACCTTCGTACCAATAAGAAAAAGATTTCTTCCAGGTACAGCCTGGAAAGATGGCAGAGAGAGCTGTATTTCAGGCCTCCCTTCCACCTTTGGCCAGGCACCCTTGTGCAAAGTACAACCTGCACAGGCCCACTTGCCCCTCTTAGGAAAGTTTAAGAAATAAATGTGGTGAAATTACTGCCACTCCAGAAAGGTATAAGTATAGGGACAACAAAGACATTAATTTCAACCTGCGATAGTGATACTTCAGTAGCAATTTAAGTACCAATTTTGTCATTATTGTGAAATTTTGTGCATATCGTTTGCTTCTAAATATAAGCCTAATAATTTCAATTAAATTTTTCAGACTATGCTGATAAAATAAGGCTTGTGGTCAATGCTTAAACGTCAGGGAAATTTTGGGTTGTTAAGTTTAAACATTTTGATTTCCTGGTTGTGTTCAGTGTTTAGAGGAATTTTATTTAATAGATATGAAAGATGAATAATTTGAGCAGTAAGGAAAGTGTAAACTAGGAGTGTTCCTCTTTTCACACATGTCCCTTAGAGCTTAGACATTTAAGATTTAAGCAGTAATAGGTAGAGGAAATAGAATTAAAGCCACAATGAGGGGAAAAGAAAAATATTAAGAGAAGGAGAACAAAAAAAAAAAGAGGAGGAGAACAAAAAGATGATATTCAAGGCAGAGAAAGCGAGAGAAGGACAGAAGTAAAATAAGAGACAAAGGTCAGCTGGAGAGAGAGCAGAGGAATTCAGAAGGCTCTGAAATGTTAAGGCTTATAAGCTGCTTATTTCATACGTAGTTTTGTACCTCTTTTCCCTGCTCTTTACTACCTGGTTTACTTTTCAATTGTTTATTAAAAAACAAACAAACAAACAAACAAACAAAAAAACCCCAACCTTCTCTAAAGAAACTGCTGCCTTCAAAATAAAACCAAGACATGCACTGGAACAAAAGTCTTCAAGACCCCTGAGAGTCCTCCCAAAACTTACTTTACCCTTGGAATGTCTTGGTACATCCACGATTCACAGTTTGGGCCCAGAAAGAGCATCTGACCTCTTCCTTTATATCATCTAGCACAGATGAAACCAGGTTTGAGTATTCAAATTAGGCTTTCCTAAAGACAAAGGATCTGTACAAACTATATATATAAAGAATAACATGAAATCCACTAATGTGGTTTTTTTTTTTTTAAGATTTTATTTATTTATTGGACAGAGAGAGATCACAAGTAGGCAGAGAGGCAGGCAGAGAGAGGAGGAAGCAGGCTCCCCACCAAGGGAAGAGCCCTACGCGGGGCTCGATCCCAAGACCCCAGGATCTTGACCTGAGCCGAAGGCAGAGGCTTTAACCCTCTGAGCCACCCAGGCGCCCCACTAATGTGGTTTTTAAAAACCTGGATTATTCTCTTCTGGTGATCCCTTCCAGCTCCCTCTTTGTGGGAGGCACCAGTTTAGCACTCATTGTCCAGCCACAGCTGCAAGGCTACCTTCCTTAATGCACAGAATCCAGAGTCTTACATGAGGCCTATCCTTTTGGCCTCAAAAATATAAACTACATACCACGTAATAACTCTAAGGTTCACCCAAGAGATACACACAGACAATAATAGGTGTCTTCCATCAAGGGCCCCTTGGAACTACCAGTGAGCAGCTCCCTGGAGGGTAAATTATTCTCCAGGACAGTGCGATATTGCCCCAGATAAAAACCAAACTTTAGGCCTTGAGGCAAATTGAAAAGAGGACTAGGCATTAGGAGTTCAAGGGATTTAGTCCTTGACTCATTCCGTGACTCTTTGGTATGTTATTTTATCTTTAGAGGCTTTATTTACATTAAAGGTAAAACAGAACTTATCTCTATCTACTTTAAAGGATTAGGGTACAAATAAAACGAGTTAGATAAAAAAGTGCTTTGAGAAAGTATAAACTCTTACTAAAACAATTTTTTAAATATTAATTTTTATTTATTTTTTAAAATTCTTACAAAAAAAAAAGAACCACGTCATTCCAGAGTCTCCATAATCTTTGCCTGTTCTTCTCCACCAACTCTTGCCAGGCCATTCTTGAACCCAACTTCAATTTGCAGACCAGAGGATTTGAATTAAAGGCCCTCTAAGATCTGTCACAGCTCTGGAAGTATAGGATTCCCATTCATCCAGTGAATGGGAGCGCTTACTATGTAACCTGTTGGAAACCCAAGAATGAGTAAAATCTAGCAAAAATGATAAAACCCAGTAACCATTAATGATGGACTATCATTTGAAGAGTTTATACAGATCTTCCTCAATTTACAAGGGGTTTATACCATTTGCATAAAGTTTTGGAAGCATTAATCTAGATATTCCCTCTGTCCAACTTTGTTACCAATCATAAAACATTTATCAAGCACCACAAAGCTGAAAAATATTCGCTAGAAGCTCCAAGGATATAGAGAAGTGTAAGATTATTGTGGTGGTCTAAAGACCTATCGCACTTTGATCTTGCAATCCCTAGACTGGAGTCCAAATTCTATTAACTTACCGCATGATGTCTGACAAGGATTTTTTGCCTTTCTAAAGCTGCCCCCCCCAATGAAATGGGGCTAAAATATAGTACCAGTTCCTTAGGGATGTTGTGAAGTTCAAATGACACAGTTTATGTAAAGAACAGTTTCTACCACTAAAGTACTTGATAAAATAGCCACGATATTTTGTGTGTGTGAGCGCAGTGCGGAGGGATGATGCGCGTGAGATTTCCATAACACACAGCTAGCAAAACAAGACTGTATGTTGCAGAGCCGTTTCACTTTCTTCCTCTGAGACGCAAGCCTCTTCCTTTGCTTTCTCCTCTGTCAGGCACCGTTTCGTGATCTCAAAGTCTCACAGTTCTTCAAGTATAAGGACAGTAACATTTCCACTGCTCAGTTACGGATTTATGGGGAACTCTTTATATACTAAGGGGCCAATTTCAAGTTACTCCCTTCTCACTCTTTACCGTGGCTAACGAACAGCGTTGGTGACCCGAGTAAATGAAAACAAAAAACAAAAAACCAAAAAACAAAAACGTAAGTCGCACTTAAACAAATATAATTTAAATGTGGACTGATTTCCTTACAATTGCTAAGAATGAAACCCCTATAACGTACTTTGAAATCTTAAAAAAATAATTAATACTGTTACATTAGGCTTGAAATAAAACAGATACATCCCCAAGGTCAGTAGCTGAGGAAGCATCACGGGCCTTGATGTTTCCCGATTCTTTCTCCCGCCCCCCAGCCCCTTTTCCAAATTCATCCTAGATACCGCACTTCCACCACTGCCTTCGGGGCAAGGTGCGGGGGCGAGTAAGGAGAAGGGTGGGGGAGGTGGGGCTGAAACGGAACTTCATTGTTCGCGGGACCTGCTCTTCCCGAAAGAGCCCGTTGGCAGCGCCTGCGCAGTGCGTGCTCTTTGTGCGGGGCTGCAGCAAGCCGGTTGTTTGTGTGCGTCTCTCGGAGGCGGTGGAGAGAGAGCAGAAGGGGCGTGGCCAGTTCTGTCGCATTCTGATTGGGCTCCTGGAGGGAGGTGGGCGGACACAGGGCGGAGCTTCTGATAACAACACTCCGCGCTGAGGCTGAAGCTGTTTGTTGCTGCGCCGCCACCGCCCGAACCATGGTCCGCGCTCCACTCGGGCTCTCTTTAGCAGCAGCAGCCGCCGCCGCCGCCGCCGCCCTGTGATCGCTGGCTTCACTTCCTCCTTTTCTTCTTGCTGAGCCACTTTCCTCCTAGAGCTATGACCGTCGTCTCCGTCCCCCAGCGGGAGCCACTTGTCCTGGGCGGCCGCCTTGCATCTCTGGGCTTCTCCGCCCGTGGTTACTTCGGGGCCCTCCCGATGGTGACCACGGCCCCGCCGCCTTTACCCCGGATCCCGGACCCCCGGGCACTGCCCCCCACCCTTTTCCTCCCTCACTTCCTCGGGGGAGACGGTCCCTGTCTGACCCCACAGCCTCGCGCCCCTGCACCTCTGTCCAATTGTAGTCTAGCTACGGCGGGAGGCACCCCTCGGGCAGCGCCAAAGAAGCGGCGAAAGAAGAGGGTGCGGGCCAGCCCGGCGGGGCAGCTGCCCAGCCGCTTCCATCAGTACCAGCAGCACCGGCCGAGCCTCGAGGGCGGGCGGAGCCCCGCGACGGGCCCGAGCGGAGCGCAGGAAGTCCCGGACCAGGCGGCCAGTTTGGCCCCAGGTCCTGCGGCCGCAACCCAAACTGATGAAGCGAGCCCTTTCCCCGGCCAGCTGCCGCCCGCGGCGCCCGGCCAGTCCTTGTTCAGAAGAGAGGTAAGGACCGCGAGGGGGACATGGAGGCTGTTGAGTTCTGGCCCTTAGACGGGCACGGCCGGGCCCTGGAATTTGGGGCCCTGCTCTGAGGGGTCGGGAAGGGGGGGGGCCGGGTGAGGGGCGGCTGTTTACTCGGGAGGGAAGTTTCCGTGACGCCTGCTCTGTTCTAGCTGGGGGAAGAAGGGGGAGGGGGAGGCATGCGCTGGCGCTGCTGATTGGCTCCCGGGAGCCAGCCAATGAGAGGAGCGGCTGCGCCCCAGCAACAGCCCCAATTTAGAAGGCTGGCGCGGTTCCAGGGGGTTTCGGTGTTCGGGCGCGCGGTGGGGTGGGGGATGGAAGGGGCCCGGCGGGAGGCTGACGTCAGCGCGCGCTACGTGCGCAGCGCTCCGGCGCTCATGAAGGTTAGGCGGTGTGGCCGTGGTAGGGGAACGGGGCGGGGGGGGCGACCGTCGTCAGCTACCTGACCGTTGGTAGCTGCAAGACTAGTCGGCGGCGCGCATGCACTTTTCTCACCGCCCTGTTGTGGGATTTGGAGTAGGCTACGAGCGGCACCATTCCCTTTGGCTTTTTGCTGAGATGAGAGGTGCTGCGTGTGCGGCGCTGGCCCGATTGGGGCTCTGCCCCTCGCCGGCCAGCCTGCTTAGCTCTACTTCTAACTTCAGAAGTTGGCAGGAGCGGCGGCAGTTCTTGCCTCTTTGAAACGATGTTTTGCGTGTTAGTGTATTAGATGAATGGGATGGTTTATTTACAGTCCGTGCTGTAGTAGGCCTTATTAGTGGAAGGTGGTTTTATTGTGTCCAGAACGAGGAAACTTTTTAGAAAAGTTGAGTTGACGTTAAGCCACCCAATTGCCATGCTGTTAGGTTAGGATAAAATGAAAACTCAAACGAGATTAAATCGCTAAAATGATTTGAAATTGACCTCTATAGCAAAATAAAACGTTCCAGTTTCAAAGACTTACACTGTCTTAACAAGAAATGAAAATAAGTTGGGACGCTTTGGTGGCCAGTGGTTTCAGCGTCTGCCTTCGGCTCAAGTTATAATCTTGGAGTCCTGGGATCGAGTCCCTGCGTATGGCTCACGGCTCAGCGGGGAGTCCGCTGCTCCCCCTGCTTGTGCTCCTTCTGTGTCTGACAAAATCTTGGAAAAGAAAAGCGCGCGCCTGGGTGGCTCAAGTTGGTTGAGTGTAGGCCCTCGGTTTGTCATGATCCCGGAGTCCTGGGATCCAGTCCCCGCATCGGGCTCCCTGCTTCTAGAGGAGTCTGCTTCCCCTCTGCTAAACCCCCACCCCCCGCCTTGTGTGCTTGCTCGCTCTCAGAAAAGTAAATAAGTAAAATGTAAAAAATTAAATAAAACATTAGATATTTTTAAAATGAAAATAAGTTACAGCCATTTTTTTGCTGGAAGAATATGGGAGAGATTTGCAGGTTCTCTTCTCGCTGTGCCCTTGGTGGGGGGAAAGGAGATTTGACCTCCGTGATTACTTATATTAGATTCAAATTTTAAAATTCCACGGCTCTGTGATATAGGATAAGCTAATAGTCTACTTCCGTACTACTTGTTTCCTAGTTAACAAGTAATAATTATTGTCTAGAACAGTTCAAACAGGGAACTCTGGCAGTTACATGGAATGTTACCTTGTGCCCCCAGCGTTTGTCTTTTGGTTCCCGCTTCCCTACCATACTACAAGTATTGGAAGGGCAATGATCTAATTAAGTACTGTATACTTTTCTATCCGGTCGTGGCTTCCTATAAAGATCACTTTGAGTTAGGAAAAGTGATTGGAATTGGTGTAGCAAAGTTTTTGAAGCAGTTGTTAAACCAGGAAGTAGGGGCAGGTGGAAACAATTTTCTGGCCATGTATTTGCTGTAAGTAGATAAAATCGGGAAACACATAAAGTGATTAGTATTTACATTTTTAATATTTGAATTTCTGAAATTTTGTTTTCAGAAACTGGGAGATAATTTTTCTGTGTAGTTAGTAACCATTACCAAACACTTGGTCACTTAAAATCTAGTTCCTGCTAATTAAGTTTTTATCTGGAATAATTTTTAAAAGACTTGACTAAAAGACAAATAGTAATCTATGAAAATAGATTTTATTTTTAACCAGATTCAGCCAATCAAAATGAAAGCGTGCGAAAATTTCTCTTAGACACATCCTAGTGTAAAACCGCTGACACATTTAGCTTGTGTATTTTTGGAAGGTAGCTCATTACTCTTCCTTACAGTTGATACAGAATGATGAACTTGGGTTACTTTGGGATTTTCCCTTTGACACTTGGTGATCGTAATGATTATATTTTTAGTAGTAAATTTGGAGTTTGCTTATTTGATAAGTGCAGCGAGCACATATATGTTTAATCAAGACCATAACTAAAGTCCAGGAGAAGAAAACATTAAATACATGGTGTGAGGTTTGTGACTAATTTCTGTCATGAGACTGTATTCACTTTTATGTTCCTTGTCTTTATAGGTTTTAAAATCAAAGATGGGAAAATCGGAGAAAATTGCCATTCCCCACGGCCAGCTTGTTCATGGTATACACTTGTGTGAACAACCAAAGATAAACAGACAGAAAAGCAAATATAACTTACCACTAACCAAGATCACCTCTGCAAAAAGAAATGAAAATAACTTTTGGCAGGATTCTGTTTCATCTGATTTACTCCAGAAGCAAGAAAAAAAGCCTTTTAAAAATACTGAGAACATTAAAAATATGCATTTGAAGAAATCAGCATTTCTAACTGAAGTGAACCAAAAGGAAAATTATGCTGGGGCAAAGTTTAGTGATCCACCTTCTCCTAGTGTTCTTCCAAAGCCTCCTAGTCACTGGATGGGAAGCACTATTGAAAATTCCAACCAAAATAGGGAGTTGATGGCAGTACACTTAAAAACGCTCCTAAAAGTTCAAACTTAGATCTCAGATTGCAGTATGTCTGTAAAACAGTTTTTTCAAAATCCCAGGACTCTTGAAAAGAAAATTGGTACAGAAATGGAAATTTGCCTTGTAACATACAAGTGCAAAGATGAGTTTAAAAAATTACAAACAACTTGTATTATATTTTATATTTTGTAAATACTGTATACCATGTATTATGTGTATATTGTTCATACTTGAGAGGTACATTATAGTTTTGTTATGAAAGTATGTATTTTGCCCTACCAGTTGGTAGGTGTTTTGTATATATACAATGGAGAAATTTTAAGTGTGCTAAGGCACATGGAAGACCGGTTTATTTGCACAAGGTAATGAGATTTTTTTTTAAAGAAACAGCTATCTAATCTCAAGGTGAAGATCTAAATGTGAACAGTTTACTAATGCACTACTGAAGTTTAAATCCGTGGAACAATCATTGTAAACATGGGGTTTGTCTGTGTTTCTCTAAATTAATTTCTGCCTTCTAATCTGTAATTACTGGAAAACTCCTGTTCCCATTTTTACCAAACTTAATTTCTGGTTTTTGGTTTATCCATTCAAATTTAAAATACCTCTAATTTTAATGCCAACAAAATTGGTTGTGATCAAATTTTTAAATATAATAATAATTTGGCCCCCCCCTTTTACACTAGTCTTGACTCTTTGTGTGTGACTTTCATGTTTGAGTGTGTGACTAGGAGATGGGTTTTAACTTTCCCATTTTACTAATTGTCTTAGTATTACACTAATTGTCCTTCCTCCCTCTGAAATTTAGAGTCCAATAATTTAATGCTACTACCTCCCAGGGGAGGAATTCCCCATTTTATAGTTGGAATGGTTGTGCTAAGAAGTACAACTGATTCGTTTATAATTTACAATATATTTTTATATATGAACTGTTCATAAGCACTGTTTAACTTCCCCTATAATATCAGTGAAAGAAAATGACACTTGGTTCACTAAATTTACGATGATTTTGAATGGTGGTTCTTGAACCAAAGCAAGCATAATTTATGTTAAAATAGAGGTGGCAATTTTGAACCTATTGATGTTTGCTAAAAGATAAGTATGGTAGATTATGTATTTTTACTTAAAAATTCAAATTTTGTTCTAAAGCACTAGTTTTCCATGTATGTTTTTTTAGTTCTGCAAAGCTAAGGTTTCTTTTTTTTTTAAGAGATCACAAGTAGACAGAGAGGCAGCCAGAGAGAGAGAGAGAAGCAGGCTCCCTGCTGAGCAGAGAGCCCAATGTGGGACTCGATCCCAGGACCCTGAGATCATGACCTGAGCCGAAGGCAGCTGCTTAACCCACTGAGCCACCCAGGCACCCAGCTAAGGTTTATCTTGAAACAAAAGGAAAGTTTTTTTGAGTAGTCAGGCAATACTTAATATATGAAAAGGGTATTAAGAGGGTATATATGATTCTCAGACATACAAAAAGGGTAATAAAAGGGTACATATAATTCTCTTAAGGTGGAATAGTTGAGAAAGGTACTACCATCCTTCCAAGAAAAGATAAATGGAAGAGTCTTAAGGTTGTAGACTCAAATACTCATTTGATTCATACAGTAGGGGAGACTTTTTGGATGTGCAAAGGTAGGTGGTGTGGGCACAACCTTAGAATTGGTATTGATGAGCTAGCTGTGCCGGGAGGGTATGAAAACTATAGCCACCACAAAATCTAAACTCGTCAATGTAAGTGCCTGCAGTCTTGTTTACATGGCACATACCAGCCAACCATTCTTTGGCCCTGGCTAGAAAATGCTTCATTCTTCTATGTATATAGAGAAAGCTATATTTTTTTTTTTAAGATTTTACTTATTTGACCAGACAGATCACAGGCAGAGAGGCAGGCACAGAGGACGAAGCAGCCTCCCTGCTGAGCAGAGCGCCTGATGGTGGGGCTTGGTTGCAGGATCCTGGGATCATGACCTTGAGCTGAAGGCAGAGGCTTTAACCTACTGAGCCACCCAGGCGCCCCGAGAAAGCTGTGCTTATGACATACAAGTTACATACAGCTGGCTTTAAAAAATGCATTTAGAGAAACTTTAACGAAATACAGGAAGCTTTCGGTCTTGCAAAATTTTGTAAGATTTTCTAAGTAAAGGAAATAGATAAAATAATTTTACGGTTTGAAGAGTAAACAAAATTGGCTGAATTACACTATGGATGATACAGTGAAAGGTACTGGCAAACTCAGAAGTTGAATAGTTTCAGTATTCTAGTAAGATACTAGTCTGCTAGTGGTCCTAGTCCCTTGAGACTGCTGTAACCTTACCAAAGACCGGGTAGCTTATAAATTTCTGTCTCGCCCAGGAATCCAAGATCATGCCACCACCGGATCTGGTGTCTGAGAACTCAGTTCATGGTTCATAGATAGGAAGTTTCCATTAAGTCACCTGGCAGGAAGGTTGAGAAAGCTTTCTTGGGCCCCTTTTGTAAGGCTATTAATCCATTCTGGAGGGTTCTACCCTTCTACTCCCTTCCCAAGGTCTTCACTTTGTAATACCATTAATTGTAGGTTAGGTTTCAATGTAACTCACTGCAGTGCAAGCCAATCCATTTAACCACCTCTGCTGTTCTCCTACTGAAGTCCTAAAACATTTTTCCTCCAGTGTTCCTATAACTGGTTTTATGGGATTATAAAGGAAACACTTTGCATTCACCAACTTCAGGTATAAATTTTAACTAGTCTAGTAAAGAGGACTTAAAATTGTAAAGGGGTGAAAGGTTTATATGTGAGTGGAAATTTGTTCCATAGTGAAGTGCCATTGCATAGATCCGTATGTAGAGTATTTTACACTGCAGTTGCTTTTAGACAAGTGTATAGTCTGATACCTCAACTAACACTGGTAAAGTGACACTGCTGATACGGTAACACCGTAGAGCTTTTATTTGCATTAATCTTAGTGCTGAGTATTTTAGTGTCCTTGTGGGCAGATAAAGGAAAAAAGGCAATAAAACATCAAATTGCACTATTAAAAGATTGACAGGAACAATTCTTTCCAGACTTAAAGGGGGTTTGCAAGTTAAAATGTAAATTTTAAGGTGGTTTATGTGGTTTATAAATTAACACTAGAATGTCTTAAGAAATAATATACATTTTATCAGGACCAGCATTCAGGTTTTAGGGTACTTTTTTTGTTTGCTTTTTTAAAAGATTTTATTGGAGAGAACACAAGCAGGGGGAGTGGCAGAGGGAAAGGGGAGAAGCTGGCTCCCCTCTGAACAAGGAGTTGATCCCAGACCCTGGGATCATGAAGGCAGGCAGTTAACCAACTGAGCCTCCTGGTGCCTTGGCATTCAGGTTTTTTTTTTTTTTTTTTTTTTTTTTTTTTTTTTTTTTTTTTTTTTTTAAAGATTTTATTTATTTATTTGCCAGAGACAGAGGGAGAGAGAGTGAGCAAGCACAGGCAGACAGAGAGGCAGGCAGAGGCAGAGGGAGAAGCAGGCTCCCCGCCAAGCAAGGAGCCCGATGTGGGACTCGATCCCAGGACGCTGGGATCATGACCTGAGCCGAAGGCAGCCGCTTAACCAACTGAGCCACCCAGGCGTCCCGGCATTCAGGTTGTTAGGCATATAGTTGACCTTTGAATAACACGGGTTCAAACTTGTTGGTCCACTTAGACATGGATTTTTATATAGACAGCACAATACTGTAAATACCATGATTTTTTTTTCTCTAGCTCACTTCATTGTAAGAATACAGGATATGATAGAAAATATGGCGACTTACCAGGCTTCTGGTCAACAGACTATTAATAGTTAAGATTTGGGGGAATCAAAAGTTACATGGGGAGTTTTTGAATGCATAGGAGTTGGTACCCCTAAGCCCCCGTGTTACTCGGGGGTCAACTGGACTATAGTCACCCCTTAACTTTCACAATATTTTAGTATAAAGCTAGTGCTATACAACCATGGGATCCAGTCGTGCTACACTCGGGAAAAACCATTTGTCTTTCTCTTACATGTGATTCCAGACTGTGTAAAAAAACCCTGCATTACTTACTTTGTCCTTACGTGCCCTCTTTAAAAGCCCTAACTCATCTTCGGTGTTGAGAAGGAACAAAACCTAGACTTTATCCCAGTGCTTCTGCCTCTCAGCATCAGGTCCCAGAATGGACCTGGGACAGCTGGCAACCCACCCAAAACTGTGAAATTAAGATTGTGAGGAGCTGTGGCTGTGGTAGGCTAGACTCTGGATGCCCTGTCCCTCAACCCCCTGCATGTTACCAAAAGCATTTAGATGTCTGGGGGAGGTTTTGGGTTGTCCTCACTCAAAGCTACCTTCTTCTGCCTTATTACTGGTTCTTCCAGAAATGTTGGAGGGAAAAAAGATACTAAGTGGCTTGAGGTTACAGGGGGACTGCTTTTGAAATTTGAGGGCTTCAAGAGGTGGTATAAAGGCAAGTTTTTTGAGTGGGGACATCAGTTCTAGAAAAGAAGGGAAAAGGTATAGAGATGCAAAGGAACTTCTATTTGATGTTCACATTCTGTATGTGGCTCCATTCCTGCTCACATACATGCAAATACCTTCTTCAAAAATCGGTAAACTCATTTTAGAAGTTCAGACCATAGTTTGAAAATTCCCTCAATACTGGTCACCAATTTTAATTTTTTCTAGCAATGTGTAAATATTAAAACTAATGGGTTGCTTTAGATCTGACCTCTCTCCCAGTCTGATTCCAGAAAATGGTTCATTCTTGCACAGGTTTGATAACACATTTCTTTATAAGATTATAAAAATTCCTAACAAACTAATACAGAGTCCCTGTCTTATGGAAAGTAAAATTGTCTCAGCCACCCTTCCCCACCCTTGTTTGACATTTCCCAGCTCCTTTGTGACATTTCTGAGCAGCATGCCTACAGTTTAATGTGTGGGGGCTTAACGTGTGAGGTATGTTCAGGAAAAACAAGGATAAATGGCCACGCTGAAAGTATGGGTGGCTGGGGAAGAAATGACAACTAACCAAAACCCAGACCGCATTCCCCTTCCCTGCAACAACAAATGCCTGAAGAGGTAAAAACAAAAGTGAAGTCATTGTTTTCTTCCAGAAGGTAATGAGGAGTTCTGGTGAGTAGGGATTGTCTAGTTGGAATCTGACGCCTCAGAAGTAGCATTGAGTTGGGCCTTAAGATATTTGACATAGTATCTGACGTGTAAAGAAAAGGAAACTAATGGTCAGAGGTAAAAGTCTGTATAGACAGTGGTGTAAAATTGACGGGGAGTATCCAGTAGCTCAAGACAAGCGCAAAGAAAGACACGATATACTGAAAGGTGTACTGTGGTAACAACCTGAGGGTCGTGAATGTAGTAAGAGATGCAACTTTATTCTGCAAGAATGGCAGAGCTGTCAAAGGTTTATGAGCAAGGGAAAGAGATTCCTGCTTCAAAAAGAAAACGTGAAAATACGGAGAACAGTTTGGAAAGGGAAAGCTTGAGGAAAAAGGATTTGTTGGTAGTTTAAAATTAGAGAAATGAGCCTAAGGACATTATTGGAGGAAACACCCAGGCGTGGAATTACTTGGGAGATGTTTTGAAGGTAGAATTAAGCATTGAGCAATTGCATGGAGGGTAAGAAAAGAGTTTTTAAATTGGGCAATTAGGAAGACAAAACTGGCAATTAGGGAACTCTGGAGGGGGATCCAAAT